CACGCAGGCACAGTAATAACATCGTAAATAACCCGACAGGCGTCTGTGTCGTCACACAAAACATATAAAATAACATTTAAATCCATCAACCAAATGGGCCCTCCGGACCAAAGTTTTTTTTCTATCAGCAGAAGGTCTTACATTTTATCCGCATAATGATCAAGCAGCGCGCGTGTGTGCTGACGTGTGCGTGTGTATGTAGCCTTTCGAACTGCACTTGCCCCATCTGTCTGTGTAGGCTATACGGGGGGGGGGGGGGGTGAAGGAGATCTTTGTCGTTTTGTTTTGTGTTTGTGTGCACGTGGTTATGTGTGTTTGTGTTGGAATCAGTGGTGCAGTTGTTAGCGTATTGCAACTATGTTAACTACCTCGCCTGGTACCCAGGAGGTAGTGAGTTCGATCCAGATCCTGACACAGGTCTATTTGGAGTTTGCGTGTCTCTCTCCCCCTGGTCGCGTGGATTTTTCTCCGGGTGCTCCGGTTTGTCCCTCCACGTTTAGAAACATGCGTTTCGAGTAGTTGGGTGTTAAAAAAATGTCCACGTGATAATCCACTTCGCTGAGCTATCGTTTGTGGCCAGGTCGCTTGTTTAAAAAGATCTATGTAACTCAATGGGCCTTAACCTGGTCAAAATATAAACAAAAACATAGTTTAGTTTTTCACGCACTTTTGTGATGTCATGTGCCATGTAGGGCATCCTGGGAGCATCGCTCCATTTGGTTACAACTGGCATGACTCACATTGTCATTGTTACTGTTATTTGTTTCCAGCCTTTTACGCAACTGTCTACGTGACCAGTTTCCCACGATCGCGTTCAAGCCACTCCTCTCATTACCACCGTCAAATCTCAGAGGCAGTCGCCGCTAACTCGGGGCAACTCGAGGCGACTGCCAATTGTGGTTGCGTCGATTAAGGATGATCCGCCCAATGCACATCTGCACCCACCTCTACACCCACCTCTACACCCACCTCTACACCCACCTCGGCATCCACCTCGGCATCCACCTCTACACCCACCTCTACACCCACCTCTACACCCACCTCTACACCCACTTCGGCATCCACCTCTACACCCACCTCTGCATCTACCTCTGAACCCACCTCTCCATCCACCTCTGCACCCACCTCTCCATCCACCTCTACACCCACCTCTGCAACTACCTCTGAACCCACCTCTCCATCCACCTCTGCACCCACCTCTCCATCCACCTCTGCACCCACCTCTCCATTCACCTCTACACCCACCTCTACACCCACCTCGGCATCCACCTCTACACCCACCTCGACACCCACCTCTACACCCACCTCTCCATCCACCTCTACACCCACCTCTACACCCACCTCGACACCCACCTCTACACCTACCACTACACCCACTTCTATACCCACCACTACACCCACCTCTCCATTCACCTCTACACCCACCTCTCCATCTACCTCTGCACCCACCCACCTCTCCATCCACCTCTCCATCCACCCCTCCATCCCCCTCTGCACCCACCTCTGCACCCACCTCTGCACCCACTCTCTCCACCGCCTCTCGATCACCGTACCATACACACAGCACCCCAAGCCTCACACCCTCGTACCGGCCTCCCCTTAACTGAAGGTTCGTCTAAGGAGGTGGCCGAGTGGCTTAAGGTGGGGGGGGGGGGGGGGGGGGGTAATCATAGCGGCTGTGTTGGAGCCAGCACCGCAGGGGACGACCATGAGTTCGGAGACGGGGTTCAGCCACTCTCGATTCACTCCACCTGTCTGTCTCTCTCAGGCTCTCGAGTGGAGTGTGAAATCTCTGCCCAGTCGCCGAAGATGCTGCAAAACAAGCGCTAGTCCTGTAGAGGTTAGGGGATTGGGATGTGGGGGGGCTGAGCCATATCATTAAGTGTGTTGTGGTCTCATACCCACGTCCCGCCCAGATTGTGTATGCCCCTCGAAGCAAGGTCATATGACAAAGTTGTAAACCATCGCATTTTAAATATGTTTGTTTGACCTAATTATTTCACCGTTTTACTGCTCTGACAAATGCAAGCTTTATATTTGTTGGATTTGTGATGAACACCGGGTTATTGTGTTCATTTGTGGAGGAAGAGAGAGCAAGACCTTTTTGTTGTTGTTGCAAACAACTGTCGAAGTTGTTCTCTACGATGATGACTGTTCCTGAGTGAATTGCACTCTCTGTGCAACAAGGTAGTTCAATGCTTGCTGCACCTCTGGTGATAGCACACAGTTCATGTTAGATTGGGAGCCGTTAGTATTTTATCATAGGCTTAACAGCAAATAACAAATATTTTTTTACTTTTTTAATTATGTTTAAATTAATCATTTACTGACATTTGTCAATCCACCGCTGGGTGAAAGCCTACCTACATTGCGTCGGTCCACGTGGATTGTTTGAGCGTACTTCACCACGGTGGTGGTGGAGGAGGGTGGGTGGAGGGTCCAGGCCCGGTTCCGTCACATCATCACTCGCCACTGACGTGAGCCGTGGCCAGGGGTCAAACTGAGGTCGCCGGCTTCATGGTGCGATGCTCTAATCCCCGCACCCCACAACACGGCTACCAAATTCCCTGCCTTCTTCTCCCCATCACAGTTCTCATTGTACTCACAATCAGCATCTGGTATCGCGTATCTAGTAAGGGAGATGCGGAGCAACGATCGTGGCATTTTGTCTTGAAAAAATAATTTGGGTTCGTGATGAACAGTATTAGTTACACGCGAATGATTACCATTATTTATTGTTATGATAACCCCAGAAGGTGTGATATGTATGTAGGTAGAACTTATTTCACACCGTACGTAGCCAACCGGAAATGAGGGGAGGGGACATCAAACTAAACACAAGAATATCGATTTGAAGCTTTCGTGACTGCAGGGATTCATCTTCTTGGTTCTTTCGGTAAAGTCAAGTAGAATGGAAATAAAATAATAAAAATAAAACATAATAAAATAAAATTCTCACGACGTTTCGGCCACAACACAAGTAGCCTTCTTCAGGTGAAGGAACAGAACTGTCGGGACGACAGCGCTTCAATTAACACTGCTAAGCTTCGCAGCGTCTTTTAAGCTGGGTGGGAGGAGCAGAGCGCCTTGACAAAGAAGTTTACATATCAACAGAAAAATTTAGCATTGAAATAGCTGTGTTAAAGTGTTGGATTAGCATGATGTTAATGTGATGGATTAGCATGTAACTGGTCATGGAAGTAGCTATGTTAAAGTCAGAGTTTACATATCAACAGAGGCATTTGGTATATTGATGCTAAAGAACTGCAACTATCCAACTATCATACAATAAGCCGATGTGAAAGAACTAAGTATAAACTACATCAATATAATAAATGTACTCAATATATTCTTCAATAAGTTGAGCTATTAACATAAAGTAACTGGGTATACACTACACTATATAATGAATACCATATAGTAAACTGATAAAAAAAAACTAAAATATAAACTACATCAATGTTATCAATAAACTCAATATACTCTCCAATCAGCTGATGTTAGTAGCTCAGCTGATTGGAGAGCATATTGCTAATCCCTCACATTAGCATCATGCTAATCTCCCAGTTACATGCTAATTTCTCACTTTAACACCCTGCTAATCCAACACTTTAACACAGCTATTCCAATGCGAAATTATTCTGTTGATATGTAAACTCATTTGTCAAGGTGTTCTGCTCCTCCCACCCAGCTTAAAAGACGCTGCGAAGCTTAGCAGTGTTCACTGAAGCGCTGTCGTCCCGACAGTTCTGTTCCTTCACCTGAAGAAGGTTACTTGTGCTGTGGCCGAAACGTCGCGAGAATTTTATTTTAGTATGTTTTATTTGTATTATTTTATTTCCATTCTACGTGACTTTACCAAAAGAACCAAGAAGATAAACACAAGAACCTATGAAGCTCTTTTCTGCACAGATGGTCAGCAAAGTAACATCAAAACAAAATACATAAAAGATACAAGAGTAAGATGGAGAGAAATTAAGGAAGTCACAATGAAATGAATAAATGCATATGAATAAAGCATGGGAGTACACATTGCGCAAGTGTATTAATTCCTGCAGTTTTGTCAACACCAAATGCAAGCTTGGGGCAAGGCAGCAAAACAACAACAACAACAACAACAATCCAAGACAACACAGTCCCTCGATTATAATGCGCTTCAAAATGGAACTATCAATACACTGGGTAATGTTCAGAGTTACGAATCACAGATGCAAATGTGGCTGCTGTATCTGGCGCTCATCTTATTTTTAAGGCTATGTTTTGAAGGAAGACGTGCTCGGTGAAGGGAGGAAACTAAGTTCTTCCAAAACATTGGTGCTGCAAGAGCAAAAAAACATTGTCACCTATTCAAATTTTTTTGTTGTACGCATATTTAAAAGCAATTAGATGGACGTGTTCGGTTTTCTTGGTTTGACAATTGGCTTCATTAATTAGTTAAATGTAGCGCAGAATCGTCAATAAGGATGTTACGGATGAACATGGCCCGGTGTAGATGTCTTCTTGCGTAAAGTGACGTGAGATTGAAATTTAAGCAAAGGTCACAATGGTGGGTCCTGTATGGTATATCCAGTAGAAAATTGAAGAACAGAACGGATAAAGCGGGTTAAGTCTGTCCCGTGTTTCATTTGTAGCTCACTTGTGAGCAACGTCACAGTACACGCGAAGTGTTCGAATGATAGCTTCAAAAGTTTGCAGGCGCAATCGAATGGGAAAAGAGCGTTTGTTTTTTTGTATATTAAAAAATATTGTATTATCTTCGAGACGTGATCAATAGGCGGTTGGAAAGTAAGCTTTGAATCAATCGGTAAACCCAAGTATTTGAAGCAATCCGTTTGTTCAATGATGTGGTTCATGATACTGTATTCCATATCTGCAGCATCTCACGACGACACCACGCGGAGACAACGTGGACACACACGCACCTCGACGGTCCACACCTCCACAACCCCACCTCGCGACCGACATCCACGCGGCACACCACGCCTGTGTCCACCACCCACCTTGATGGTCGTCTCGGGCAGGTTGAGCGCCGCCGCCAGCTCGCACCGGCGAGGCCGAGAGACGTAGTTCTCGCGGTAGAACTCCTTCTCCAAGCGCCCGATCTGCTCCCTCGTGAACGCCGTGCGGTAGCGCCGCACCCCGTCCGAGCCCAGGGTCCCTCCCGGGGGGCCCGCGCCGGGACCCGGGCCGCTGCCCTGGCTGGACTGGAGCCCGCCGGCCCCGGCGCCCCCCAGCTGCCCGTGGCTGCCACCGCCGGGACTCGGCGAGTCTGGGGGGCCGTCGCCAGAGCCGGGGGCGCACTTGGAGCGGCTCTCGTGTTCTGTGAGCGGTTTCGAGATGAGAGGCAAAATGGAGAGAGGTTTGCAAGAAGAGTTCCAATTGTCTGATTGATTGATATCAGTACGCAGCCCTTTGTCAATCTACTGCTGGATGGAGGCGACGGGGAGAGGCTCAGGACAGGTTCGGATATCACTCGCCACTGATGTGTTAACCTTGGATGGGAATCTAACCGGTTTCCGGCCAAAGAATTGTAATGCAATGTCGCAGAGTATTTTGTTGTGTTAGTGAATTCCTGCACGTGTTTATATATAAAGGCATATATGCATGCATATGCGCGTTGGTTTGAGCACTGCGCAGCACATTCGGTTACCCAGGTTCAATTCCTGGCCATGGCTAACCGCAGTGGAGAGTGATTTTTGAATCAGGCCTGAGTCTACCCTAGGTCGACTCAACCACGAACACGTATTTGGTGCTGTCTGCAAACATCGGGACTGGGGATACAAAGGCGGCCGGGCAAGGTACAAGCAACACCACCCTTTAATACGACCTTAATACGGGAAACAATACAAAACGGGGGATATTTGTATTCATATATATCCGCGTGTGTATGTGTGCGTGCACATCTATATTTACGTCTGTATCTGCGTATGCGTGGTTAAGCTGCACTTGCCCCAACAGTCCGTTAAAGGCTATACGGGGGACCTTTATCTGTGTGTGTGCATAACGCGTGGTGCTGGCCGCACCAGCGCCTCGTGCGCCGTGTCGGCCTTCGTCGGCGCTTCGCGGACTGCTCTTGCTCCGACAGCCTGCGTGGGCTACGCGGGGCTCTTTGCCTCTACACGTGCGTGTAGTATATGTGTGTCCATACATAAAGACTTCTGGTCAGCGTTACGCGTTATCTTGATCGATTTATCACAAGGAGGTACAAATCATTCTGACAATAATTCTATATTTACCAATGAAAGCCTCGCTGAGTCACAACCAAATGTATTTTTTTTTTTCACAAGGGTCCTCCATTGGTTTAGGACCTCTTCAACGAGTATTGTTATTTATGTATGTATTCTGCCTGGCGAAATCTACAGTTCCCAGAGAAATCCCCGAGCATACGAGGGGATAGAAATCGATGCGTTTGAGTGCGGCGTTCCGCATAGGCCAGGGGGTTGGAAACCAAAAAAAAAAATAACAACAAGAAGAGCCATTTCTTTTTTAACGAATTCGGCAAAGCAAAAAAAAGAAAGCACCCCTCGATATTTCAAGAGCCGCAATGCACTGTGGTGGTGAATACAAGACGGGTGGGTCCTCTACTAAAGGACTGTCACGAAGCGGTTCCTTCAGGAGCCACCGCACGCGGCTCCGGCATCGCGGGTTGTCGACCCCCTGGGCATAGACAACCAGGGTAGTGTTCGGCGCATTGTAACGCTGTGATTGGCCAAGTGCACAGTGTTTGTAACGCTGTATGTAAAAGAGGTAGCTACGGTCATAGCACGGCGATGCGAATACGGATGTCGGAGTTCGATTCGCGGACACGGCCAACATCAGCGGTGAAAGATATCGAACATATTTATGGATCCTCCCCTCCCCCCCTTCAGCCGTCCGCGTTGACCAGCGTGGTAAAGTGTGGTCAAAGACAAAGATCCCCCGTATAGCCTTAACAGGCTGTTGGGGCAAGTGCTGTTAGCGAGCACCTATGAAGGCCCGGCATGGCACACGAAGGGGTGGGTGGCCAGCACCACGCCCGGCCGCCTTTGTCTCCCTAGTGGCGACGTTTACACACCGCACCAGGTACTTATTTGAGGCTGAATCGACCTAGGGGAGGCCCAGGACCGGTACCAGATAATCGTCACCAGTGTTGGCCGTGAGCGGGAATCGAACTCTGGTGGCCGGCTTACTAGGGAAGCCTCCATTGAGCAGTGTGATGAGAAAAGTATTATCGTAAATGTCATCCTTTCGATTCATCCCATCAGCGATTAATTATCACTTTTCCGTTAACAATTGTATTCAGCTATCAATGACGTTTTTTACGAGTGTGTTTGTTTGTTTTGTTTTTGCCTTGTTCGTGAGATTAACCGAGGAAGCCAGATGGTCATACAATGGTGCAAACGTTAGTCGTCTGATATACTACTTACACAGTCTTGATTGTTATAATCTATTTGAATAAATTAATCTGTCAAATGACACACGCATCCTAATCCCGGAGATTTCCCGAAATAAGCGTGCAGCCGCCGACTGTCTACGGTGTGTGGTCCGGCGTGTGGCACGAGTTTATTCCACTGCGTGCCACGTGCTCCTCTCCCGTTTGCAACGTGCTACTCTCCTGTATGGCACGTGCTAATCTCATGTGTGGCACGTGTTACTCCACTGCGTGACACGTGTTACTCCACTGCGCGTCACTATGTCGTATTTCACGTGCTATTATTTTACCACGTGCCAACCCGCTCGATTAGGCGCTGCACATGTTGATGTATGAACACGATTTTCCCCAACGCGAACTGTAGACTTTCGCAAAGATTCGCGTTTCGAAAGAGAGATGATGCAGAGAAACGTAATCGAGTTAGCGAACCTCTATGTGCATTAACGTATACATACTTTTAAAATGTTCTTCACATTTGTATGTTTCATAATGATCATCATCAACTACGCATCATCCAGCTGTTAATCAGCATCAATCAACCATTAATTGAATATATGTTCTGCTCATTATCATCAATCGACTACAACCTATTATCATTGATCAACTGCGAATCATCATGGTCATTAATAATTTTTAACTATAATAATCATCGCCAAAATTATCATCATTTTCGCATATCATCACGAGCACCAATCAATCAATCGACCACAAATAATTTCCGTGAATAATCACCAGCAGTGGATAGACCACGGCTGATGATTATTCACGGAATGGTTCATGGCCGATTGATTGATGCGCGTGATGATGGATGAAAATGATTATTGTAATCATGATGGCGATTATTATAATAATCAGCCATGCTCTGTCCACTGCTGATGAAGTCCCCCCCCCACCCCAACGCCTCGACGCCGTGGCCATCCCTCACGGCCCTGCGATGCCACCACCCATCCCACTCGCGCACGAGGGCTTGGTAGTCTCTCCATGTGTACGAGCCCGTGATCACTCCGTGTGTGCTTGCGACTGAGTGGACACAGCAGACATAGTTATCATTATATTATATTCTTGGTTCTTTCGGTGAAAGTCACGTTGAAGGGAAACAATAAAATAATATATATATAACATTGTTGCTGTTGTTGTTGCGTGTGTTGTTAATCTATTAAGTCAGAGCTGCGTGATCAAGCATGCCATTATCATCATCATCATCAATCGCATAATCCATGTTCGATCCACTGCTGGATGACAGCCTTCTCACGCTGTCGCCATCCGTCACGGTCCACTATTGCAATTCATCTTATAGTATTGAAGGCTATAAAAAAAAGGCAGCGTGAAAGACATTACATTGTTTGTAAAGTAATTCGCAAACGTTATAAATTGGAACTGGTATTCATTTTTCATCGAATAGGGTACGCACTAAATGTTGTACGACAATAATATGAACAGCATTCAAACAATATATTGCGATTCAATTGTAATCTCCGTCTGACGAGCTACACAACAAAGGGACGAGCTAAGAGGAGCTGCTGCTGCTGCTGGTTAGGGTGAGACTTTAGGAACAGACCTCGTATGTACTAAATGTATGTTGAACTTCTTTCGCACCGTACGAATCCAGACGTCGAGAATCTAACAACGACGGGATCTATGACAAAGATGAAAGCGACGGCGAGACGTGACGATGTGAGGGTTTCCCCGTGATGTAATTGTCACGTTGATCACATGACGATTACCGTGATACCGTTTTCCCCGATGTAACTGTTAGCGTTCGATCTGCGTTCTTATTATTGCGATGTTCCCGTGCTCTGCTGCACTTCAAGGGCGAAACAGGAGCACTTTCGTGTTCTTCAACTGCGGTTCACTTGGCGCACGCCTACCACGAGTCCTGTGATATACTGCCACTTACCAGTAAATCTATAGCGCTCAGAACCCATGCGCTGTCCGTACATGAAGACGTCATATCAATCAATCGCTCCGCCAAAATATTTGTTTTTCCATATGTATTTCAATATATAAATGATGTAATTGGATATATAGTTATACATGTAATTGTTGCGCGCGTTATTTCACAGATATTATGTCTGCGAAAATAAATACATATATACATTTTACCTAACGAAAGCAGAGTTAATCACGATATAACAACGACGTTTTGCACAACGGAACGTAAAGATACTCATGGTGGACTTTATATCGTACGATACATCGCGATATCGCCATATCGCGGCGATCCTACTTTGCATCAGCCGCCATTGGCCGTGATGACCCCGTGACCTTGATGGTCACTCGGCAGAATATTGACGGTCGTCATTGCCTCCCGCTTGACGGAGCGGAATGTTTAGGCTCCGTAGAAATACCACAACTATTCAGCACCAATACCAACAGCCGCCATTCGCCACTAAGTGACGGTGACGTCACCGTGGCGCCTGTGCCAAGCCAGGTGCACTTTGGGGCCACGTGAAGTGTCGAAGGCTCGCTGACTGACTGAGATGACCGGTCGATGTACCAGCTGTACCCCCCACTGTGCCAAATTTGCTGCGTTTTAGGCGCCTTGCGCTCCTCTGCCCTCCGTTGTTGTCGGAGGGCGATTGCCTCCAATTACCCAGCAGCGTCCTTCACGAGCCTCTTCCATAGAGGCCGATGTTGACACTGCTGGTACCGGTCGTCGGCAAGTCCACTCAATCCCACATCCTCCCGTACTGCGGTATCTAGCACCACCACCATGCTCAATTGAGTCAGGTGCGTCAGGTGAGTGAGTGAGTCAGGTGAGGGGTCTGAGTTATGCCAGGTCACCCACGAGTCGACCAAATCGCCCGGAATGTTCCCAAAATCTCGGAAGCTCAGCAGGCTGTTGAGCCTGGTTTCCACGTGGAGACTGCATGGGGGATATCAGGTGTACCAGACTTGGGGTGCGAGGT